CCTCTTTTTCAATCTTTTTCACCTTGAAATCGCCCCTTTAAAATGGCAGAAAGTGGTATAGACATCCTGCAGGTGAACGGATCCGAGCAAGTGACAAACTTCACAGCAAAAGGCCCGGGCAAATAGCGCTGCGCATGCTGCGCTTCGCAAAGGAGGGCCCTAAAAATGACGACATCGCTGATATATCGATGATTGAGGCAGGAAACATGTGTGTCTCTGACAGTTTTAAGATCCGAACACCCGGAATCTTCACAGAAAATCGCCGTTTCATAGCTCAATATGTGACAGTCTGAAATAGTGTTCCTTGTTGGTGGTTTGGAACATTTTTTTCCATTTCATATATGGGATGTCATCCTTCCCATTGACGAACTCCATCATTTTTCAAGATGGTTAAAACATGTTTTTTATCCACCAACCAGGTTTTTTTTCGGAGAATTAAATTGTCATGTTGCCAATCCCATCTCAGAAATCGCATCGCACTGGGCTGCTGTGGGTTGCATGGAATTCAATCCTTATCAGTCGCTGATCCTTGCGTCAGCGGACCGCAGTTGTGGCCATGGTTACCCTTGGAGATCACCAGAAAGTGGACATCATTTCTGTATAGTTAGATTAGTGAGTAGCTACCAATAGGACTACAATGACTACTTATAAATCCACCTTAAACTTATCCGACTTATCACGTTTTTCTTTCAAAAACTTTGAAAAAACACAGGTTTTGGAAACGGTCTCTGAGCGGTTGACTGGCAGCACAGCTTCGGTGGTTCCATGCCCATGCGTGGAGCCCTGCTTTCAAAGGTCGGTCTCCCGAAAAAAACTGCAGCGTTCGGATGCGTTCTGCTTGTTTTTGAAGGGAGGAAACTACAAAAAATCCATATGAACTGTAGAAATCTGTAGAAATCCAAGATTTCAGGCGCAGAAGTTAAAATTTTTTAAAGGCTCTAAGCCATTCCATTCCTTCAAACCGGTTGATCTTTGTTGTGGAGGGACCAATGGTTTGGGAACCGTTAATATCAAAACGATCTTTCACATGGGCTGGGTACCTCCCCTTTTCTTGAACATGATCGACCGCAGTCGTACTCTGAAAGTTGCCGCCTGAAATCAGCCGAAACAGCAAATGACATGACACAGATCTCTGCAGCGCCCTCTAGACTGTCTGATTCTATACCTCTACTAGTCGTAATGAACGCCAAACCTACTGATTGTGAGGGGGCATTTGAAGCTGCGAACATGGAGCTGTTTGATTTAAACCAATTCCAAGTACTTCTTCGGGGTTCTGTTTTGGCAAAGCCCAAAGACCGAGATCCAAAGATATTTGGCTTGAACACCTTGCATGTTGCTTGTACCAAGAATGATAGAACGATATCGTTAGGGATAAATTGAATTGGGGTTGGCATAGAGATGTATAGAGTATACTCCATTTATCACCACAGAGCTTATAGAAGTTGATCAATTTTATATGGGGGCGATCCTTTATAAAAAACAGCTCGGCCGGGCACCTTGCTTCGCCATGGTTGCCAGCTGTGCTGTTTTTCGAGGTGGGAAAACATGTTTCCGAAATGACCAAAACGCCAGGTCATCGTCATCAGCTGCCATTTGCGGGTAGTCACTAAGCATTTTCCCACAGAATGCCACAGATCTTTAAACGGAAAACACGTGGATCTCCTGGGAGGTCAGACTGGATGCAGCTTGAGGTTCGAACCACCCCGTGACGACCTGGGTTCGAAGAGTCAGAAGAGTCCGAAATGACAGCAACAGTTACCACCCATGTGTTGGAGAGTCTGTGATAAAAACTCCTGTGATAAAAAAATTGGTTGTGACTGGTGTTTAAGATCTGTGTTTTTTTGAACTTCTGATGGTATTTTTGGTGAACCCCCATGGTCCGCCCTTTCAAGATTACACTTAAGATACTATCCAATCAAGAAAAACATCCGGACGAAATGACTTTCTCTGGTTGGTGGTTTGGAACATGAATTTTATGATGTTCCATATATTGGGAATTTCATCATCCCAACTGACGAACTAATATTTTTTCAGAGGGGTAGGTATACCACCAACCAGTTCTGAATGACGTCTCCTAATGGTTGCCGCCTGAACGATGGTCCGTGGCGTGCTGCTTCGCCTCGCCCATGAGGTCAATACACATTGTGCCGTCTCGAAGTATCTTGAGATCAAACAGGGACAAATCTGGAGGCCTGTACCTGGATGGTTTCAAAAGTAAATTCAGAAGATGTGAAAAAATGGCATGAGATCACCTCTCCAGTGGAAAGCCCTTCAGAAACACTAATTTTGGTGTATCGGGACGAGAAAAAAAAAAACGCAGGGAGTTGTGGTACCCCAGGTACCCCAGGTACCCTCTTTTGACCAGTGGCATTTCATGCTGAACTTTCCACATTTTCATGCTGAACTTCGCTATAAAAAGGTGGCGTTTCCTTTCTATTCAAAAATCACCAGAAACGAATCACAAAACGAAACCGAGACGCGTAGCGCGTTGCTCGAAACGCCGCGTAACTGGGTTGGACATCAGTGCAGAACATCATGCTGGATCCAATGGATAGGCTATGGGTCATTTTTCAGACCAAGGGCCAAGAGGTTAGCACAAAAATTGTGCTCAAGTTTCAGTACGAAAAACTATCATAAACTATCCCATAAACTATCATTTTTTTGAGATTTCTAGTAGCAATCTGGAATCTGATCAATTCGATTTTCCTTTCATCATTATATCAATTTCAAAAATTTTAACTATATCCATTTCTGGGTACTCCAATTTGGATCTATGCCTTGATCTATGCCATGGCAGGCATGGTGCGGACTGCCCTCCCCAGATCCCTTCTGGGATTGGCCATGGCGAGGCGGTTGGTGTTTACACCAAGGATGGAGCTGGGGAAGAAACCCAAAATCTACTTGGTGGCGAACTACCCACGGCTCGTAAGTGGCTTAGTTCACCCCAGTGAGTTATAAGTGGATTAACCCTACAAAAATCCCATGTAAATCACTGGGGTGAACTAACCCACTTACGAGCCGTGGGATGAGCCACCAAGTAGCCACCGAAGATGAAAAGAGACAGATAGGCATCTCAACATTCCGCATTGTCCTTGACTTTCCTATGGAACGTGTTTGAATCCCAACATGTCAATTGTTCAATAGGACAATCATCTTTCAGATTATTTTTGTGGGGGGGTTCATGATGTTCCATGTTTATCCATGTTTGGTATTACACTCATTGGGACAGAATTCGGAACCCACAACATGAGATTTATTTAATGGTAAATGCCACCAACATCTCTGCATGTCCAGATATCTACGAGGTAGTTGAGATTTCTATCTCCGGATCTTGAGATTGTTTGACATCTTGGCATGGGTTTGTCTGAAAATTCGGCTACCTCAAAACCCATAGTTAGTCATCATGTTTCCTGTGAAAATAGCCATAAATGGGGGGTTCATTCCGACCCAATAGCTAAAATATGTTAAAATACTTCTGGTTGGCTATCTATCCCATTTTATATCCATATGAAATCCACGTCTTTCATGTGACCACATCAATTCGTGGCCCCATCCAGCACCACGTGACCTGGCCAAAAGTCACATGTTTGTCACGAGGCAAGGCTTTCGAAGGAAGTCGTCTCAGGCAGATTTTGACGATCTTTGGGATCCTGGGGGATGGTGGTGGCTGGGAATTTCACTTTCTGGAGGACTCTGCAGAAACCTACCGCTTCTTCACAGCAATTTTTTTTTCCCCAACAATGTTCGCGGAGCTCGAAAAAGGCTCTCGAACATTTCGCATCAGCAAGTACCCTCTGGTGAACTAACATAGCAATGGAAAATGGCCCATTTATAGTTGATTTACCTATTAAAAATGGTGATTTTCCATTGCTATGTTAGTTCACCAGAGGGTAACTCGGAGGATTCAGCAGAGATGATGATACTTTTAAAGGATGATGGCTGATGGTTGCTGATGGATCAAGACTCCATTTCACAACGGAGTTCAGTGGCTCGGACACCTTTTTTTTTCGCCCAGGTACAGAGATTTTTCAAAAAAATCATTGAAGCTCATTATCGGATAAAGCTCATAAATATCCAGCAAATTTCCGATTTCCATGTGATTTCCCGATAGAAATCTGGTGATATCTGGAGGTCCGTGGCCGCATGCGCGCGGCAGAGGTGCTGCTGGCTGGTTTCGGGTGGATTTAAAACGGGAAGACCTGGGAGTTTCATCACAGAAAAATCGCTCGCCGGTGGGATTTTTCGAACATCCAAGATGATGATACCATGGAAACACCCGCGAATTCTGTAGAGTTTTCAGTCTTCCAACATTTGGCAATGGACAGTTTTTGGCAGGTTAGTGTGACCAGACTCCATATCATGGAATATGTCATGATTATAATTATATAACGATAATATTATGGAATGTCATTGGTGTCTTTATCGGAGGATTCACTTCAGATTCGTGCCCAAAACAACATGCGATATCAACTGTGTCCCATTTCGGCGGAGGTGTGTGGAACTGTTTGATGGGAATTTATCTCATGACTAATATATACAGTACTTGTTTGCTGAATATCTAAGCTACATCAGTTACATCCCCCTTAAATTTCTTGCTGGAATAGCTGCCTGACATTTTGCCATTTTTGGGTCAAAAAATCCATACATGGCATCCTGCTGCTTACACCATCACTGGTCTTCAGATTGGATGTTTGTTTCATAGGTCACATGGGTACCATCTGATGGTTGATCCTCATGTCCCGTCCGAAATTGTCGAAAATGAGGTGCTAAATTCCTCCCATTTTTTCTCAAAATTCAGGACTCTCTGATTGTTATGAGTTATATTCTTAATATGTTCAAAATACCAACATCAAAATCTGGTTGGTGGTTTGGAACATGTTTTTATGACTTTCCATTATTATTTGGAAGTTCATCATCCCAACTGACTTCCACTCCATGATTTTTCAGAGGGCTGGGTATACCACCAACCAGAAATATATTTTTGGTTCTGTTGAAAATCCATGAACATCCATGTTCCAAAAGTTTTGGTGAACTCACCAAAAAGCAGCACCAAAAAAAAACCAGCGACCCAGGCATGGGAGGAAGCGCAGAAACGGCCACCTCCCATAGTGCAGGCGGCCAAAGCCAAGGCACAGAGGAGTCCAACGTGGCTAGGGGAGGCGGGGTTGTGGGTGATATGGTTAGATGATGAGCTTGATTCTCATTGTTGAAGTTGAAAAAAACATGTGAACCCAGTGGAGATTGATTGAGATGATGGAAGCTGGCCGAATTTGGTCAGAATGTAGACGAAATCGATGGATGTGGGGATGAAATTTGGATAATCAGATCTCCCTGACCGGGCGAATTGCTCTACAGCATGCATTTTTGGCCTATTTTGGCCATCGATGTCCATCACATGTATGAGGCGGCCAAAGATCAAGCCGCAGCTGGTGATCAAGGTGCCAGAAATCTCACAGCGATCTGGTGGGATTTTGGCCCAGAAAGCCTCGATTTTTGGGCCAAATGTGTCTCGTGATTCTCAGAAGAAAGCGGATGACGATGACTAAACTCCCAAACACAGAAAAATTGGGATCGCCAGTCTCATTTCTCCCAAATGAGAACAGCATCCAATGAGAACAGCATCAAAGCAACTTCGACCCAGACGTCCAGGTGATTCCGCCATCGAGGCGGGGGGGAAAAGGGTGCCACCGGAGATTTGTTGGCAGCAATGGCATGTTCCAAGAGCTTCCCTTTGTTGTGCATTGAAAAATCCGACAAAATTGACCTCAAAGAAAACTTCCGAGCTCTGGACTCTAATGTTTGAACTATTTTGTCTTGGCCATATATAGTGCCATATACTTGGTGGCGAACTACCCACGGCTCGTAAGTGGGTTAGTTCACCCCAGTGATTTCAGTGGATTAACCCTACAAAAATCCCATTTATAACTGGGGTTATAACCCACTTACTAAGTGGGATGAGCCACCAAGTAGTGCCATATATAGCTATATAATAGCTATATATTAGAGCCATCCCTCCTCACAATTTGGAGATGCTGGAGAAAAATCAGTGCAGGTGGTGCCGGATAGTGTGCCTGGTGCGTCCAAGGCTGGTCGTGGACTTGCATTTCTTATGTGATTTTCTTGTGAGTTTCTGGGCATCCAATGAACTCATTGAAGGATTTTAAGTTTTTTTTGAATGGACAGCATGATGAGGATATCATCTGCCACATGTTTGTTGCTTCACCGATGCAGCATGGTGTGAAAACGGCTTGGGGTCGAACTATGTCGAACTGAATGTGTGCAGGCCAACTTTTCTCGGATCTATGCACGTGAGGACGGTGATGTCCTTGCTGAAAAACCACGGAACCTTGGGAGTTCAGCAAAAAATGGGGATTTATATGTGATTCATGATAACTAAGTTGGAATTTTACAGGTATTTCGGACAAAGACATGTGGTGATGAATGTAAGAAGTACGTATTGTCAACAGACCCCCACCACCATTGGTTGTTTTAACCGAACCATTTCAACAAATGCTGATCAATACTCATTTGATATTTTGATCTCATTTGAGCCATACCAATTTATGCAGATTGTTGGTTAGATATTCCATTTGTATTCCCACTATAGTCGATTTGAGGAAGGGGCCCCATAGTTAGCTAAGTTGGTTCATAGTTTATATCTAGACTATAATGGCTAGGATGTATGATGGATATATCGATAGTTAGATGGAGTTATAAACATTTATAAACCAACTTATGACTAGGGGCCCACTTCCTGCACCCATGCATTGGAACGTAGAGGAATGGGACGGAGAAGCTCTTTCGGGCTTGGGCTCTCGTGAAGAAACCACCAGAGAGCAGCTTGGCAGCAACACGTGAGGAGATAGCAACAAAACCGATATAGTTGTGAGATATTTCAACATATAATATAAAGAAACTAATATGATATGATGTACAACGCGTATATCATATAATATCTATGTGTCTATATTTAGACTAATATTTAAACCGACCAAAGGACGTGTTTTTTGGACCACAGGGTGACCTTGTTGTGGGCAACATTCACCAGTGCGACAAGGTTCCGGAGTTTCCTGGAAGAATTTCTCCAACAGCGCAAAATCACCTCCGTCGTCGATGCAGGTGCTTCTTTTATCTACAATGGTGGTTTAATGGTGGTTTAACCAACAAAAATTGTGATTTTAATGGATTTAGTATTTACCCTCTGGTAAACTAACAGTTTGCGAACTGGAAAATGGCCATAGAAATAGTGGATATACCCATTAAAAATTGTGATTTTCCATAGTTTTTTGTATGTTTACCAGAGGGTAAATTTTATTTGAAAGATTCATCAGCAAACTCCGCTGGTTGTTTGAGAAATGTGGTGAGAAATGTGGTGAATACGATCTCTCTGGTTGGTGGTTTGGAACATTTGGATTATTTTTCCAGAATATATGGGATAATCATCCCAACTGACAACTGACTTTCATATCTTTCAAGATGGTTAAAACCACCAACAAGTTCTGTTTGAGGTGGGATAAGATATCCGGTGAACCCTGCCATGATGGACGATTTGCCGCAGGTTGTGGCCATTGGCCCTCTGGATATCAGCGCTTCATGCATTGGCAGAACGTGTGGGGGGCCCAAGTTTCACGGGTTTCACGGGTTTCACGGGAATGGGCCCCCAATTTATATGGTCATGAACTAACCACGCGGTTGTAAACCATGTTGACATCAGATTAACAGATTAACAATTAGGCTAATGTTGCAGATTTTTTCCGGCAAACTCAACTGATCAACTGCTTGTTTCAGCAATTCTCAGTTGACTCAATTTGGTTGATAAGCCTGGGAGTACAACTGATCTTCATCTTGCATCTTGCTCCAAGTCAACCATTGCAGGATGCCAGGGGCATAGCTCATTTCAAAAGACAGAGATCAGGGAGTGTGGGTGGTAACACCATGGGAAACAAAAACACACGAGAGGTGACATATGTTGGTAATGCCTGGCACACCATAGCATAATTCTTCTGATTTTCCGTGACTTGTAGATTTATTGGAACGATTCTATAAACAATATATAGAATGAAGATTATAGATCAAACAACTAGTTATAGAATGAAAATATATAATATATTATATATTCTACAATAGTTGATCTACTATTCTACTTCTAGTTATTGTAGAACAGATAGGAACTGGATAGCTTGATCCACCAGAATTTCGATCTCTGAAGTCCAGGCGCTACACCGGGGTGGACGTGGTGCCATATGTGGTGCAGGAGAATGCCAACTACTTTGAGGACAGCGGACCTACCCACTTTCTGCTGATGGCTATGTTGGGCTATGTTGGCACTAAGTTGTCTGGCTTCATGTTGCTTTAGCACCACAAAATTTTGGTGCTGCTAACTGATCTAACTGGCGTTTTTTTCCACCACATTTCTTGGACATGTTGGGATATCCGGGGGACCAGACCATCCAGCTACCGTGTTATCAGGACGCCTCTGTACTAAGCTCTCACGGGCAAGCACCTGAGAAGTGAAGGTGTCAAATTGGAGTCTTTCCAGCTGAGTTGTAGCTGGTGAAAATGTTGGGATACTATTGACAGTACCCTCTGGTAAACATACAAAAAACTATGGAAAATCGCCATGCTATTCATGGGAAAATCCACTATTAATGGCCATTTTCAATAGCTATGTTAAATTACCAGAGGGTACTATTGACAGTATACTAGTTATTATACAATATTCATTTTTCATGAACACGTACGAGAGAAACAGTGAAGTACATTGGTCAAATTTCTTACTTTTTTTATTATTTCACCGCATGATGCCAACCTGTTCTTTGTGGGATTCCTGGGTGAATTCTTATTGCTGGTGATTTTGCTGGAATTTTAGTGAACATCCATGGATTTTTCAGAGTATCACTGAGATTCCTACCAAGACTTGTTTTAATGTAGCCGTGATTCTCATCATCCTCATGTATTTAAATAGTGTTTGGAGGGTTTGGACCCCCATTTTCAGAGACACCAACCGCATGTTTTTCCAGGATGTTGGTAGCAAAAACCAGGTGACCCTGTTGACACCAGGTGACATGAGGTGACTGTTCTGCTCAGGCTTCGGAGTGCCAAGTTCATTTGTGACGATGCCTGGGTTCCCTGGGTGCCTGGCAAGGTTCGTTATTGAACGAGCTATTTTTCAGATAGTTTGGTTGATTGGTTATTGATTGATCTAAGTTTGTTATGAGTCATACCGGGTTGGTTTTTTGAGAATTTTCATGAATTATTAACATGACCTGGGATATCGGGGATTACAGGATTATGAACTAAGCCAAGCCACTTGGGAAAGCTATCAACCGAGTAGAATGATATTGGGATTATGATACGTTTCGTCGTTTCCTTGGGGTTGCCCCTCATCTAAAAAAGGGTGACCATGACTTGGTGTTGTTTCACAACCGACTGGTGACGACTGGGGATCCACTATGACTTAAGAACCCTATGATGATAGCAATCCAGCATCATTTTTGGTATGGATGCCTTAAAAAAGGAGGTAACCTCTGGTAATATATGGACAATATATGGATAATCTATGGTTAATCTATGGTTAATAATAGTTAATAAATTTGGCTCGAACGTCACTGAACTTTTGCTGATGATATCTGCGCATATCTGCGCTGGGTTGAACAGTCAGCAAAAGGGGCGTGCTGTTCAGTGGTTCCCAACCGGGGTTCAGAGGTGAGATGCAGGTAGCGAAAAATCCGGTCAAAGAGGAGAATAGAATCACAATCAACCGATAATGACATTAAAAATATTTAAAAATGATTGAATTGAAATCTATGAACTATTTTCAATGACTGGAATTGAATTACAGTTCAATATGTTCAATCTGTTCAATGAACCAAGGACCCTTTGGAAATCTGCGAATCCACTCAGCACCGCTCAGGTCTCTAACAGCTTGCCAGAAGCTGATCTGCTCTTGGTGAAGGAGCGTGAGATACAGTGAGATATAGTGAGAATAAATTGAGAATAAATTGAGAATAGCTGAAAAAATGTCAGATTCAAAATTAAAGGCCAGATTCACTTCATATCAATTTTGTAGCCAAGTACTCATTATATTTATATGAAAGGATACGAATGTGAAATCATATTAGAATACTTGTAAATTATTGTAAATTCATAGCAGTAATATTACTTTTTTTTGAGGATTGCTGCGTACTTTCATGGTACAATTATTGCAGGACGTGTTGATGCACCTGCCGGACCCTGAGAACAACGACACGTCATGGCATGCCACTGGGTGGTAAAATGGTCAGGATCTGGTTGAAGAAATGATGTGATACTGTGGATGGTTGCGAAATCCGAATCACCAGTTGATAGATGGTAAACATCCCACTATTTATAGGGTTTCAACCATCCTTTTGGTGGTGCAGGATTTCTTCCATCCACAGTATGACGTGGCCATGCTTCTCCAGATTCTATCAGCCTTGCAATAGCTGCGAAAAATAGCCAGCCATCAAAAATCGCTGTTGATGTTTTTCGGAAAATTCCAGGTCCATCATTACTGTTATTTGAAAAAAAACATCCCCAGCCGATCAGCCGATTTTTCAGGGGCTTCTAGTGGCTCAGCCAACCTCTGCAGGAAAACCATCGTTTTTCCTAAGAAATTCATAGGATTTTGCAGATTTCCTGCCCCCAAAAGATCTCAAAACAGCGATTCGCACTTGCCATGCAACTACATATAAGTTTTTCCATGTCCCTATCGTGTTTTTTTTCCTTCAAACGATGATAGTAAGAAATTGTTCAAAAAGGGGGCATACTGCATACCCAATTTATGGATATTGACTTTAAATGGAACATGACTCAACCGACAGATGATTGGTTCATCATTGAAATAGTGAAATTGGGGGGAAGACCCCATTTCCTGACAGTCGCATTTGGATCTGTCCCAAATTGTGTACTGTACCCATAAAATCGCCAATGAAGTGCGGAACATCCAGTGGAACATGATGATCGACCACTGGACTTTGGGGTATAACAACCATATTACCCCATCGCCAGCGCAAGGCCAAATCGGGCAGTCCATGACTTCTTGGCCAAGAGTGTCAACGCGAAGTCCCCACGATATCGCGCAGTCATGTCAGGAAGCCAAGACGCCGGGACCTACCATCTGGTTATGACTCACATAGCCATGGAAAATCGCCATTTTTAATAGGCAAACCATCTATTTCTATGGGCCATCTATACCATGGCTATGTGAAATAACCAGAGGGTATTTAATTATTTGCCGGGAAAAATCATAGAACATCCACTTGAAAGTTAAGTTGATTGTGTTGAAGAAAGGATAGAAAGTAGCCCACCTGAGTAATTGGGGATGGCCATGATCCACTTTTGGTAGACCTGAAGGTATTCAAACAGATTGGAATGGGATCAGGGGATGGTCTTTGATTCTTCAGGTGAGATTTTCAAAAAAATAGCATCTGGATGAACACCGGGGACCCTTTTTTCTGCATGGCTCTTACCTTTTGTCAAGGTGTGTAATGTCAACCCCGGATGAATAAACCCCGTTTACGGCTGTGAACTATTTGGAGGGGTTATCAGATTATGACATATTATGAATATAGTAGGAGTAGCCAATTAATAGACATCAGTGGTTTATTTTTATCCGGGCTTGACATCAGTGGTTTTCCGCAATGATTGACTAGAAAAAATTATCTATTCATTATGTCATATCATAGATGACTAATGATTATTCCTCCCCATGTCATGGCATACCCTCTGGTAAGCTAACATAGCTATTGAAAATCACCATGCTATTCATGGGACAACTCACTATTTCTATGGTGATTTCCATAGTTTTTTGTATGTTTATCAGAGGGTAAATACTAAATCCCATTAAAATCACCATTTTTGTTGGTTAAAGCCCATTAAACCACCATTAAACCACCTTTGAACCACCATTGCCATGACATCAATCATTGCCATGGCCTCAGCAGATCCTGATCTGCAGATCCCTGCAGGTTGGTTCAGAATGCCATTCCTCCTGTGGCCATTCGAGAGATGGTCGACATCCAACCTGGACAGCTCCTGCCGTTCGACATCACGTTTCCGCCCTTCAAGGTTTGCTGAGCTTGCTGAAAGTTGTGGAAAAAATGGAGGTTTTCACATAAATTCACCTCCAAAAAACATCACTCTTGATTTACCTGAAAAAATGATGCTTCACCGATTTTGGGGTGTACCATGGTATACCATGGTATACCACATTTTCAGAGAAATCCAAAGAAGCTTCATCTTCACCAGATACAGCAGTTCCGCAAAGTCCGGGACCGAACCAGGCCCCGTTCGAGACTGTTTTGCGCTGGCAAAGCGACGAGCCGAAGGCTGCTGGTTTCAGTTGATCCAGCTGTTTGGATCTCTGGAAGCCGGGTTCCCCCTTGGTACCGCCGCGAGTCTTCGAAGAAAATTCGTTGCTTCTGTTCCTCTCACTTCAGCCGCCCAAAAATGCTGGAGCTTAGAATCAACTGTGGATTCTGAGAGATTTAGCTGTATTTTTGTAGCAAAAAGTAAAGAAACTGAAGTAACCTTGGCAGCCCTTGAGAGGTGGTACAGATTTGGCAGCCCTGACCGTGGAGGCAGGCGTTGAACTCACGCTTTAACCATGTTTAAGCCAACGAGACTCTGAGTTGATATCCTAAAATGAGCAGGGTGAGCCTGAAAAATTGCAGCTTGAGATTTCGGTCCTGTCTGCTAGTAGCCTTTTTGTTCTCTAAAGTGCTGACAGATTTTTTCGAAGGCCGGGCGTTCGCTCCTTTCCAGGTTGGGGTGTCCCTCCAGAGCGAAAGATGGCATCTGAGTGAGATGATTTTGGCTGCATGTTACATGTAATTATGTCATGCAATGTAATAGCAATGTAATAGCAATAGAATGCGATAGAGGCCATGATCTACATATTTCTACAACATCATTTGTTTGTCAGGACTTGTCATGCTCATTTATTCTCCAAATATATATTTATATATATATAATTATATTATATTAAAATATATTCAGACATATGCAACACTGCAGGCTATAGCTATGACGTTTGAGTCATGCTGACAAAAATCGCTGCCGCGGAAAATATGTTTCTGCTGTCATTGAAGAAGTGGTGTTTTGAGTCAGTGGTGTTTTTCATCATTTTTCATGCTGTACCTCCAAGCTTCGATGGCGATGGTATGGCAGTGCCTTTTGTCTCGGGCCTTTGGCGAGGTCGAGCTGCAACTTTCTCCGTCTGCCGTCAGGAGAAAGATGGAGAAATCTCATTGAAATCGGAGTGTTAGTGTGCAACCACGAAGATTTGCTTCGAGAAAGGCGAACTTCAGTAGAAAGTGATGGCTACTTTCAGTTTGGTTGCATCTGAACACAAGTTTTGCCAGCACTAGGAAATTGATGCAACGAAATTCCAAATGAACCCTTTGGCTGTTTGCTGATGTGCCGCAGATGTGTTCGCTGGTTCCACTTGACAAGGAGCTGAAGAATACGGATCTCGGCTCGGTCCTTGGCTCAGGGAAAACGGCAGTGAGTTTGGTGAGATTGGCACCAAACATGTTGGTGAGATTGGAATTAGATGTTTGTGCCCATAAAGACTTGTGCTTCCCCATATTCTGTGTTGGATTATGTTTGATTTACCCTCTGGTTATTTAACATAGCTAATAGCCATGGTATAGATGGCCCATAGAAATAGATGGTTTACCTATTAAAAATGGTGATTTTCCATGGCTATGTTAGTCACAACCAGATGGTATGTGATGACATCAGGAGGCTCAGCAGCTGGACATCTAGACATCTGGACCTCTTAAAGAACGAGCCGTGAGCCGCTTTTTTGGCCGCAGACGCGTGATGGGAGAGGTGGAAAATGGAGGCTGTTTGCTACATGGCTGTGTTTGAACATGGTGCCATATGGTGCCCAAAACAGACTCAAAGGGCAGTTTTAATGGGACATAATGGGACATGACGATAACCTCACAGGAAAGACCGCGCCAGCGCTTTCATTTTTGCTAATACTTCGAGTCACCATGAAAGATGATATCTGCGTGTCCGAAAACGTGGGACACCAACCCGTTGTTTTCCCGTACTCTGTGTATAGCTCGGCTCATCCGAGCTCCTGTTTCGAATCATTGAAGAGTCTACAAATGAACCAACAAACACAGCAATGAATACTGGATTGAATTATCATGAATTAAATTCATTAGCCATTTCACCAGCTCACCAGCTGGAAGCTATCTGGTTCACAAGTCACCATATGTCACCATCGTTGGAGCATCGTTGGACAGCCAGGTTTGAGGGAGAATTGAGAGGGTATTTTCCATGTCGCCTAGCTGATCTCTGGTGTCCAAGCCGTGGTCTTGATCGTTCATCGACAAATAGAACCATTCAAAAGAAAGAAACAACACCTGGTGAGGTGCCATGAATTCAACGTCTCAACGTCAGTTGCTTTCTGTGCCACTTTCTTTAAGAGAGATGTTGCTGAGACACCAATTGCACTTCAATCTAGAATGAGAAGCCTCGTCTTACATGTCTCACCCAGATCTACATTTTTTTGGACGTGGCATCTGAATTCCCTCAACCTTCATAAGACCAACATTGCCACATGAAATCTGTGTAAGCCATAGGCCAAGCTATGCCATGTGATTAATCTCTGTGTACGCTTTGCAAACGTCAGAAAAGGCGCCGCAGCATTTGTCGTTGAAGATTGCGGAGATTTGGGCGATGTGACAGGCAAAACATGTTACCCTCTGGTTATGACTAACAGTTCGCCATGGTTTTTCGATGGCCCATTGAAATAGATGATTTTCCCAGCTAGAAACCACCATTTATGGTTGGGATTTTCCATGGCTATGTTAGTCATGACCAGAGGGTAGATCATGTTCGATCCACTTCTTCCCTTGGATTTTTTGCAAGTCTTATCCAACTCGGCGAGGAATCAACCTTGATCTAAACGCAGAATCCCATGATAGATCGAGATGCAAACGGATCTGCCCGGTGCCCTTTCCGTTGGCCATGTTCAGCTTCAATTGGGATCACAGTGAGATCACTGTGAATCAAGTAGGCCACAATGGCCAGCGTTTCACATGCCAAAGGACGGGAGCGAATTTGGGAAGACTCAGACCTTGAAAACCCAAAAATGGGCTAATGATGGCTAATGAGTTAATGAGTATCAGTTTTTTCCACATAAATTTTCGTTGAGAGAGTCAGATGGGGTCAGCAAGTTCGATACCAAATTGATCCGTTTCTCACTGCCACCCAAATCGGTTTTTTGGGCCACCAGTTTCGTGTTTACTTCAGGACGTGAAGGCAAGTCCATTGAACAGATTTATCAGAAGAAGACCCAGTCTGGAGCTGATACACCTGTCTTATCAGCTGGCTAGTCCTGGCTGGAAACCCTGATGTTTTTTGAGGGAAAAAATGGTCTACCAATGTTGATCAAACATCAATATTTGGAGGGAGGAAGAAGCAAGAAAGTGTTTTTTTTCACACAAAGTTCTTCATCAAAGATCACCAGCCTGCTATCGATTAATCATGGTTTATCTCTTGGAGTTTCATGAAGATTCACTCTGGTTTTCTGCTGCCGAACCTTTCACCCGTTGTGTGAAAAACCCCCATATGCCGCTATTCTCTAAGTCGATGCAAGTCCATTTTGGCTCCGGCGACCTGCTAACAAGGAAAGTCAGCGTTTTCTGCTCCAACCTGAGAATGTGTTGTTTTTTTTAGTGATTGCTGTTCCCATAGCAACATTTATATCCATTTCATATAATAGTTGTGGCCACGTTTGCGGACAATGTCTTGAATGATGCCACTCCAACCGTTGTAACCAGAGCCATGTCTTTAAAAAAAGAGGTCCACAAAGCGCGATTTTCATGTGTTTTGTTCATGTTTTTTTCTAAACATCCCACTGCATGCGATCACTTGATGTCAGTAAACAACACCGCAATGCCTCACAAGTCCAGCTATGTCGGGCAGACGACCAAGCCGCACATCGGATGAATTCGCAATGGATCTTATGGCGGTTTTCATGTCACAAGAAATTCCATCCACAAATTTTCCCAACGAAAATGGGGCGTAGTGCTGAAAGTGTTTGGTGCTGACACATGTTGGATTGTTGGGGAAAAATGGGAGGCACAAGGGACTAGGTAATGCTTTGCGAATGCAAAAAGAACGAACAAAACACTTTGGTAGGGAAAAACATGGAAAATCACCAGAAACCCAGGGTTTTGGCTATTGAATCTGCGGGTAACTTGTGCGAATTTTGGTGACCCAGGCAGTGCCAGCCACAGTGCGCTGTACCGTGAGGGCACCGGCGTGCACCAGTGCCTTGGTTAGGATGGGAGATGTTGGACGTGGACCATTTTTTCGTCAAGGGTTGGAGGTGACCAAAAAGGTTGGAACATGGAAAGACCATCTCCAGAGGTTGATCGAAGCCAGTTCCAATATGTTCCAATCAGAAATAGCCATGTTTTTTTTCTTTCCAGTGCCGGCATTTCTGGATTTTTTTGGCGGGATTCGGGATTCTTCACTACCATAGGGAAGCAAAGATGGAAATTTCTGGTTGTAACGGGTGTGTCCAGAATGTAAATCTCCATTCAGCACACCTCCCCTCTGAGGCTCTCCTCAATAGCTTCCGGAGGAGAGGGAACGTCTATTCCAAGGGGCTGGGAGGTGACCATCGAAGATGGTTGTAGCCAGAAAAAATTGGTAGCCATCGATTGATGTAAACCACGCGAATTGGGATGAAATCAAAAGCAACTTAGAGCAACAAGCCATAAACCAACCAAAAAAATGGGTCTGTCAGAAGACAGAAGATGGGAAACCGAAGCAAATCCAAGACTTGAGTGTCTTGAACTTGGAAAAAGCATCCTGAATCTTTGGTACCCTCTGGTCATTTAAGCTGTCAATGGGATATCCCAATCTTCAATGGGTTGAGGGGACAATCCATAAACGCAGGATTTTCGATGGTTTTCCATGGCCAGTTGAAGTTTTCGAGGTGACCATAGCCAGGATGTTCGAAGCAACAGAAGGATGTGAGGCGACACTCCGACCAGAAACCTGTCGTGGCAACTTGGCTTGTGGACTGTTGAAGTCCGAGGAATTTTGGCGCTCCAAAAGCCCATGAAACCATTTTCTCCGTTAGCTTCGAGCTGAAATGGCTGGCAGCCAGCCGAAGAATCCTCAAATTGGGGAACCACCAGGAACCCCAAAGACTGCTGTCCTCAAAAAGGGTGGTCGCACCCTGATACAGCTCTAAAATGTGGAATCCACCGATATTTTTCTGAGAAAAAATTGGACCAGATATCATCGGAGTGTCTGAAAATGGGCTATACACCAAATTTGGTTGCCTTATTTTAAATCTGTTTGGATATTTTTTCTAGGGAAAATGATGATAATTCCATTGGAATGGGGGATATTGATGGATATTGGGGATAGCCTATCTTCAGACAACGCCGCTGAAACATGATTTTGTATTGGAGGTGATCCCCGATCCCTCACAGCACCCAGGGCACCCAGGGCACCAACCACTCCAAGCAGCGTCGCAGTTCGGCTCCGGACATTTTCAAAGGAGCGGACAGCGGATGTCCAGAGAGGAACACATCTCAAAATGTGGTGATGATACTGTGGATGGTTGCGAAATCCTGCACCAGTTGAAAACGGTGGGTGGTAGACATCCCATGATTTCTAGGGTTTCAACATGTTTCCAAAATCCAAAAAAATTGGTGGTGTTAACTCGCTGGCCCATCCACAGTATCAGTGAAGTCGAAAAGACAGGCCATCTCCCAATCCGTTCACCAGGAAATGATGGGTGATTTCAATCATCCCCAACATCAATGGCCATTTCAGGATCCTAAATTGGAGGTACCTACCATATATAAGGCCTATTTTTTAGGCCTATGTAAGGGAATATCCCCACAAAATATGGCCTTATATGGTACAGTACCTCCATTTTAGGATCCTGAAATTCCCATTGACAACAGGGCTTGGTTTTTTTTGTCCTGTCATTGAGCATCCAACAGATAGTGATGTTACACAGTGATGTTGACTTTTTTATCCCCAAGCCATCCAAGCCATGGGACAAATTTATACCAAAGCCTAAACCCAATAATCGGATTGGCATTGGGATTGGCTAAAAACCTCGTCCCTGGCTGGACCAGGATCATCCCCAGCGCATGGGGCGAATGGCAACTTGAGCCACTTGAGCCGTCCCCGGTCGGCCACAGGCTTAAGGTGGACGATCTGGGAAGGGGTCCAATGCATCCTGGGGAAAACTGCTCGGTAAACTGCTCCTTAAAGATGAAAAGCCGTGGTTTTCCTACGAAGATGATCTATAGATGGTGGAAGATGGTGGCTTTTCCGCATGTGAACCTTTCCGGGAGGGTATCCTCTTGTTTCATGACGAAGTCACAGTTTGCGAACTGGACAATCACCACTAGAAGCGATAGGTTTTTCTTGGCAAATCATCTACTTTGATGGGCCATCTATATAGCTATGTTGGTTTATGTTGGTTTATGTTGGTTTATGTTGGTTTATGTTGGTTTATGTTGGTTTATGTTGGTTTACGTCGTGAGGGTAGATGGCTAAAAAATGTTTATCAACAGCCGAGTAAACCATCAAGTCAGCTTTCCTTTGATTTCTCCATCTTTTTGGCTGATGAAAATGGACCGTCCTTTGGGGCAGCGCCATAAACCTACCATGGCTGGCAGTTTTTCAATGGTGAAAAACTCGCCCAGAAAATGCTGATGGAATGATATGGAATGGTTACCATCTTTTAATAGGTAAACCATCTATTTCTATGGGCCATCTATACCATGGCTATGTTAGTCATAACCAGAGGGTAAATGCCAGCTATATCCAGCTATCATTGGATTCAGCACAGACACGGCCATCAAATGTTTCTGGATTTCTGGAACTGCCACATTTCAACAAGGAAAACTGCACAAAAAGCCCGGCCAGGCGTCCTTCCTTGTCTGAAGCCCTGGATCAAGCGCAAGACTTCATTCATGTTCCGTGGCAAAGTTGGGGATCTTTTTTTTCATGCTGGGGAAGTGCAGTGCGAAATCATGGTGTCAATTCGTGTCAAAACATGTTACCATGATAACTGTTGGCGCTGAGTGGGAGGTCTCCATCTGAAATTTAACAGGTACGGTGTACAGTAGTTACTTTGCTTGTCGTTTCGGAGTTTCCCAGTTTCTGCTTGAAATGATGTTAGCCAAATTCAACAAGACCAAGGACGAAGGACAAAAACAGTTGAGCATCATCTTCCCAATGTTCCTGTTGGTCGATGATCGTAGGGTCCAAACTATCCAAGATATTTCAGATTCTCATCTGTATATGTGATTATCTCTAGTAGTTGCAATCAGTATATGAATGTAGTATAATGACATGACAGAGTGCTTTGAACATCTTTGAACATCTTTGAACATCTTTGAACATCTTTGAACATCTTTGAACACTGTTCAGTTGAAGAACAGTTGATTCAACCTAAACTTTTGTAGATTTTGTAGACTGCTTCAGCTGGTTCCCCAACTCCGCCGCCACCCAGGGCCAACTGCAACAAGGGCGTTGGCGGCCCCGAACTCCTTCCAAGCCGCCGCAATGCGGAGTGAAGGTTGAGCCCAAGCATCTCAAGGTCGGCCACCACTCGGTTGATAGTGGATGATCCCCTATTTTTTTTATTGGGAGATCATGGAAGATCAGAATCCATTCAAGGACATATCGACCTATTGATGGCCCTGGCAAGGCCAAATCGGAATGGATGATTATAGGTCAATGTTCAGAGTATTTTTGTGTAAGATTATTAGATTAATTAAATGATATCATTATTTCTATTTACATTAGATTATATCTATTTATATCTATTAATTATATTATCTAATATCTATGAATCTTCCCAGAAAAAATGAGGCGTTCATTCCAAACATGACCCAAATGATGTGTTTTTCGATCTGCGGCAGCTCCAGAACCTTGATCTGTGGCGCCAGCAGGACCGCTTTGCCGAGTTAGAGGTGACGCGAGAACCGGTGCCGACAGCGGAAGACCGTGGACTTCCGAGGAGGGACTGGTGGAATTCCAATAGAACTAACGGGAAAATCACAATTTTTAATGGGAAAATCACCATTTTTAATGGGAAAATCACCATGTTTAATGGGAAAATGACTATCATTGCTGGTGTTTACCCTCTGGTTATGACTAACATAGCCATGGTATAGATGGCCCATAGAAATAGACGGTTTAGCGTTCCTAAAAATGGGGGGATTTTCCATGGCGAACTGTCAAATAACCAGATGGTATACAAAAGAGGACTATTTTTTGGGGGGGAATTGTGTTTTTTCCGTTTTGGCATTTCTTTTGGAGATGTTTCCCTGCTTCTTTGCTTTTTGCTTTTCTGCTTTTCTGCTTTTCCCTGATTCTGCTGTTATGCTTCTTTGCTTATCTGCTTCTCCACTGTTCTGCTTTTCTGCTTTTTGCTTTTCTGCTTTTCTCCTTTTCCGTGCTTCTCTGCTTTTCTGCTTCTTTGCGTCTCTGCTTCTCCACTGTTCTGCTTCTCTGTTTTTCCTGCTTTGTTGATTCTAAAGCCTAACTAAACACCTAGAAGCACAATATAAATTAATGCTAAGCCAACCTCAATAAACCCCAAACCAACCCCCAAAAAAGTTAAAACAACCCTAGCCCAAAAAAACGAAAATCTGAAACATACCCCAAGTAAACCCTAAACCAACCCTAAGTAAACCCAAAACTAACAAAATAATAAAAACCACCCTAAGGAACCCCGTAAACAAACCAAAAATCTGAAACTTACTCTAAATAAACCCTAAACCAGCTCTAAATAGATCCTAACCCACCAAAATAAATCGTAAACCAAACCTAAATAAACCCTGAACCAACCCTAACTAAAACAAAAACCAGCCTCCTACATACTGCAAATCTAAACCACGCCGAAAGAAACCCCAATCCAACCCCAAACCAACCCTACATAGATCCAAAACCAACCATTCAAAAAGCTGAACCAACCCTAAACCAATCCTAAATAAACCCTAAAACATCCGACCACAAACCACCTTAAATGAACCCTCGTCGCAAAATTCCATCTAACATGAAAAGTTTGAGCACCAAAATGTTGCAAATACCATTGAAAATGAGAGGTTCGATCTCCAAAATGTTGCAATTCCGTTGAAAATGGCAGCTTCCAGCTCCAAAGTGCTGCAAAATTGCAAGGAAAACGGACAGAGCAGCAGATCACCCAAAAAAAACAACACGAAAGAACATAATATTAAAACAATTCCGGACCTGTTATGAACTGGTATATTTGTTCTTCTGGAACGAATCATCTAATCATGATATAGTTACAGTGATGATATCAAAGCAGGTTTTCCTGTAAAATTCCCAGCTAAGAGTCAACAGCAGGCTTTAGTCGTTCGTGTAAATTGATTCTGATGCCCGAACTACCCTCTGGTAAACTAACATAACTATGGAAAATCTACCAATTTTTAAGTTCGGTAAGCCATCTATTTCTATGGGCCATCGAAAAACCATGGCGAACTGTTAGTCAAAACCAGAGGGTAAACACCAGCAATGATAGTCATTGTCCCATTAAACATGGTGATGTTCCCATTAAAAATGGTGGTTTTCCCATTAAACATGGTGATTTTCCCATTAAAAATTGTGATTTTCCCATTAAAAATGGTGATGTTTCCCATAACCAGAGGATAGATCTTAGAAGCCTCAGTGCTTATAGGTCAGCGATCCGATTATAGGAACCTGCCCTTCGAAAATTCCAACACGAAGTCTGGACATTCAAAGCGCTGTTCAGTTCTCGCACTTTCGGCCATCTCAGGTTCAAGCCTGAGTTTTGGGCACAGAAATATAGGACCCCATTAAAGTCTCTCAGAATTATGATCAAACACATTTTTTTTTACCATTATTTACCTGTGTATATCTTAAGATATGTCATCTACAGCCGACTGTGGCTCAGGAGCCCAAAGAATTCTGCCTGGGAAGCGCTTCCACCGACTCCAGCCGTGGAGGTGATGACACCGGATGCGGCGCAGGTGGAGCATGCGCCAGCGAGGGAAGGGAGCCGTTTGTCGGAAGGGGTGACTCTGGATGACCAGCATCACAAGGATTTCGCCACTGCACCTGGGATGGAGATGTAAGATGTATATGAAGGGTGAGAAACTAAGAAGCCTTTTTTAAAAACGCCAATTGAAGATTAGAATGGGGAACTAACGAGTTTTTGCTCCGAAAGAGTTTTGAGTTTTTTTTGGAGTTTTGGAGGTTTCAAAGGATCTGTTTCTTGGTTTTTGGGATGTTTTTGGGCTTCAAAAGACTAGAGACTAGACAGCATCCATCTGGACTTGGAAGTGAAGCTGAGGTATGGAGCTCTGTGTGGTTCCGCACGCAGGTGAAACACCCGCAGCTGGGAAGGGAACTCACGAAGAGTAGCCTTGGATGGGCGGAAGGATCTCAGAAAGGGATCCTTCAGAGGTTTCTTGGCGCTGAGATGGTACTTGATAACCAACCAGATATGGAAAGATCCACCCATGCTATGTAGCTGGGTAAATCAACCATAAATAAATGGCCATGTTCAATAGAAACATATCCAATATCCAATATGTCAACTTTTTCTGGTTGGTGGTTTGGAACCATGGATGCCATGGATGCCATGTATTTGTACTTGTTGAATCTTGTTGATTGTCCCCAGAAATCCCACGGAGATGGTGATTCTTGACATTTCTTGACCATCTGTGATCATTGTTGTTTCTTTTTACCCTCCGGTAAACTAACAGTTTGCAAACTGGAAAGATCCACCCAGTTTTAATGGGTAAATCCACTATTTCTATCACCATTTTCAATAGCTATTTTGACATAACCAGAGGGTAAATCCCATTAATCCCATTAAAATCACCATTTTTGTTGGTTAAAACCCATTAAACCACCTGGTAAGCATGTTTCAAGTTTCAAGAGCCCTGGTGAAGCAAATGACGCCTCCAAGGTTGAGCTGCAAGATGGCTGCGAGAACCACAGGACAGTGGCCAGTGATTGGCCGGTGATTGATATGGGGGACCTGTGACATCGCTAATCATGTGGCATCTCATGATGTGGCTATGGGTCAAGTCATTAGGTACCCAAAAATTATGGATGGTTAATACTAGTCACTAGACATTTCCATCTGTGGTCCCATTAATGGTCTTCCATTTTGACCCACATCCATGTGTTCAACATGGCATTTTGGGGCTAAGATGGGCCAAAAATCAGGAAACGAATCAGCGAATCAGCTGATTATTCTGAGTCAGATTCTGATTACAGTTGATGAATCCCAAGAATTATCTAATCATCTGATACATTCTGATTATTGCTAATCATCAAATAGATCAGATACATTATTACATTACTGGTAATTTGATTCATCCTGATTATCTGAAAAGAATCTTCTGATGATTCTGATTGATATTCTGTATCAACTTCTTTCTGGATTATCCCATCAAGATGGTGTGGGAATCACCGAATCACATCGAATCACACTGTCGTCTCCGGGTGTCAGGACAGCACAAGGATCCTGGAAAGGCGAACTGGGATGATTTCAGAATGGACTTACAGAGATATGAGATTATCAAAGATCATCATAGAGGTAGTCAAAAATCATCATCCGAATGATTATCTGAGAATAGAGATCATCAAGAAAAAGAGATTATCATAGAAAATCTTAAAGATTATCTTAAAGATTATCTTACATATTATCAGACAGATTATCATACAGATTATCATAAAGATTATCACGTCAAATCTATACATAGATGGAAAATCTATCTTCAGATCACACCAGTTTCGGAAAAACACCAGGCTTTACAGCTGGTCGTGGCCTCTTCCGGACTCATGTGCTTCGGTGTCATCATTGCGATGGCTGGGAAGTCTACGAACATTCGACGAACTAAATGGAGGTTTTCTAGCTGAGAAAAATCAACTATATATATAATTATATATATAGACATATATATAAGCAGCAATATGATATTGGAATTTGGTCCAAAAACGTGGAACGAATCCGCAATTCATGTTCGTTCTAGTTGTGAACATAATTTTCGAAACCTTGTTTTTTAGGGTCCATGTTCAGACCCATTTCCGGCCATGTGCACCAGGTGTTTGTGGTAATCATTCATTCAATTTTTGGGAGCAAACCCAGAAACCATCAGAGTTTCGCGGTCTTTACCCATGGGAAAGGTGAAAGATCATAACTGTTTGGATTCCAAGTTTTTTTTCGTTGACATACGTTGACGTTGCGCAGTACATGTCATCCGCTTCCATTCATTTGGGTTAGTTCGAAAATGGGCTACTGTTGGAAATCCCATTGGAACACCTCAGGATCTGATGCAAAAAAAAAATCCGATGCGGATTCCGGTCGCCATGAAGCCCCTGAAAAAACCATCCATTTTGAGGTACAAAACACGTCCCGTTTTGTTAGGAAAATCCCTAAGTTTTCCTAGTAGAATCCTTTTGTTTGCAGGGTTCCCTGGTTTGCTGGTACAAAACCCTCAATCATAAGTCACTGGGAAAACAATACCAATCAAGAAAAAATACTGAAACAGTTCCTGTTATTAAGAAAAGCATCAACCAAATTTTCTTGTCAAATGATAGGTTGACAAAAACGTATACGACCCTCTGGTAATCAAACATGGCAATGGAAAATCAACACATACGTACTCATATATATATACACACATATTATATACAGAAATATATACTTATGCCACCATAGCCCACTATATCCCACAACATGTCTGGTTCTATACCAACTTGGTATGCTGGGAAACGCACACAAAGTTGTTCCGATGAGGCCTGCATGGCTGCCCGAGTCATTGGACGTCGAGGATGAGGACCAAGAGATGAAACATGAGATGGTGGTTTAATGGTGGTTTAATGGTGGTTTAACCAACAAAAATGGTGATTTTAATGGGATTAATGGGATTTACCCTCTGGTAAACATACAAAAAACTATGGAAAATCACCATAGAAATAATGGATTTTCCATGAAAAATGGGTGGATCTTTCCATAGTTTTTTGTATGTTTACCAGAGGGTACCAATGGCGCAATACACAAAGTCATCTGTTTAACTTAGTGTTTTTTGGTTGAACATCTTGGTTAATGATCAATGATTAGGATTGATTAATGATATCAGTTTTACTTTTTACATCTTTCCACTCAGCATCCCGTAGCATTTTTCGGATTCAGGGCCTGCCATCGCCGTCCTGGAGCATAACCACTAATTCAATGGCCACTAAGCATTTGCTTTATCTACTCCACACAAAAGTCATTGAACATGGTCAGTATTTTATTGAACCAAATGCAGGGCTCAGTCTTCAAGTCTCAGTCAGATGCAGTCAGATGTGTATTTCTTCAAGAAATCTCGGTACTTGAAAGACACACGAATGATTTCGTTGAAGGGGAACAGGTATTGTAAAGAATGGACACGTTTTCCACTTTCAGAGTGTATTCCAATCCTGGCAACCTTCTCGATCACGACAAGGGTACCCGCAGGTTGGCAATCCTCGAATGTGAAGAATGCGAACTCGAGCACTGTAAGATACTTCTGTCGAAGAGCTGTCAAGCTTTGACAACATCTACTAAAGTCTGTCTATCTAGTTGGCTGGGTGATCCTATGTGCTTGGGCAACTTGCTTGTGTGTCTCTCTGTCTATCTCTGTCTGCATTTCTGCAAGTCTATGTCTATGTACCCTGAATGTGTGTGTGTGTGTGATGTAAAGGAAGGTGAGGTGATGTAGCGTAAGGTAATGCGACCCAATGTACTGTAAAGCAATAAAATGAGTCTCATGGTCAGCAGGTGTGTTCATGTTTTCTTTTCAGACCAGAGGGGGGACTAAGTTTGAAATATAGGCCTCATATGATCTGCAGATAGATAGGTATTGCACATATTATGGACACGTGCACGTCGTGCACGTCTGCCTCTGAAACTCTATGTTTGTGTGTCTGAAGCTGTACGTCGAAGTACGTTTGTGCGCCTGAGCATGAATCAGTCGGCCTGCATATTTGCATGTGGTTTCTCAAACTGGGCATTCCCAAAACCATGGGCTTCAATACTAAAATGGTCTAATGATGTCTAATGACTGAATGATATGGGGGTACCCTCTGGTAAACTAACATAGCTATGGAAAATCACCATTTTTAATAAGTAAATCAACTATAAATGGGCCATTTTCAATAGCTATTTTGACATAACCAGAGGGTACCTCCCGTTTTTTGAAAAACTCCAGGTCTGTATGTTTTCTGAACGCAGCCAGGGTGGCATCGCAAAATCTCCAGGACGATCTGTCGGACGCATTGGGGCAGGTGACCGGCACAGTCTTTCGGTGGCTCGGAAATGGAAAGCCACGATTTCATCAGCACCGAAGTGGTTGGTGGTTTGGAACCATGGAATTTTATGTGTCCATTTCATATATGGGAATAATACTCCATTTCATATATGGTTCATAATTGATGTTCATATCAATATTGAATAGATTTGAATAGCATTATTTAGATATCTGGTTGGTGGTTTGGAACATGGCTTTTATGACTTTCCATATATTGGGAATGATCCCAACTGACTATTTTTCAGATGGGTTGAAACATATATAAACACTGGTTGGTGGTTTGGAACCATGGAATTTTATGTGTCCATTTCATATATGGGAATAATACTCCATTTCATATATGGTTCATAATTGATGTTCATATCAATATTGAATAGATTTGAATAGCATTATTTAGATATCTGGTTGGTGGTTTGGAACATGGCTTTTATGACTTTCCATATATTGGGAATGATCCCAACTGACTATTTTTCAGATGGGTTGAAACATATATAAACACTGGTTGGTGGTTTGGAACCATGGAATTTTATGTGTCCATTTCATATATGGGAATAATACTCCATTTCATATATGGTTCATAATTGATGTTCATATCAATATTGAATAGATTTGAATAGCATTATTTAGATATCTGGTTGGTGGTTTGGAACATGGCTTTTATGACTTTCCATATATTGGGAATGATCCCAACTGACTATTTTTCAGATGGGTTGAAACATATATAAACACTGGTTGGTGGTTTCAAACATGAATTTTATGACTTTCCATTTCATATATGGGAATATCATCCTCCCAACTGACTTTCACTCCATCATTTTTCAGAGGGGTAGGTGGCGAAAAACCACCAAGCAGCGAAGACTTCAGCGACCACAAAAACATCGCTGGATCGCCATGGATTGCCACCCAAATCGGAGCCGATTTGAAGATCTCTGAAGGTTTCAATGGGGGATCCAATAAGTGGAAAATCCACCATGAAATGTGGAAAATCCACCATGAAATGTGGAAAATCCAACACCAAATCCTGGTTTATGTCCTGGAAAATCACCAAATTTCATGGAAAATCCTATACCAAGGCATTGGTGTCACGCCCGGGAGAGTGAGATTCGGGTAGACGATCTTCTGCTGATCTTGGGCGATTTAGGGATCGAAGCCCATCAGGACCTCGATCTCGGGTGGTTTTTATTGGACGTAACGGATGTCAGGGGTGCAATTGGAGGATGGATCAACATGATATTCTGACCCATGACGGATCCATGGTGCTGCTATATATGGTGTGCCATGGATCCCATCAATATATATCAATATACCCCCTTTATGTTAGCGATTATATATACCAGCACCATGGACCCATGGATGATATTCTGATATTCCAATTGGAACATGGATATTTGGAACTGTCAAATGCTGATGGCTTTCACCCTGGATGAATTCGAACATTTTTTGTTCGAACCATTTTTTTGTGGTCGGTTGTTGGATCTTAGAGGAGGATTGTTGCGAAACGAGACGACACCTTTTGACAGGAATTGCTGGAGAAAGCCTTGGCGGGAAACATTTATGCTACCTTGGCCTCTCAGCCTTCCTCCAGCTGGGAAAATGATGGTAAAATGATGGTTAAAGTCATGGTTAACTGAAAGATTTAGAGGTGACCTATCAAATCTATATTCACCAACCTCCAAAGACATATATTTTAGAGGTGCTGAAGATAGCTTTTTAGGAGGTTGCTGAATCGTAGTCCCAATTTAAAATCCTGGTGAATTAGGCCTGCATCATTTTTTTGGGGGGATGGGTCAAAACCTATGAAATGCGACATTTTGGGAATGACCATCCGTGTACCCTATTTTGGGGCACACCAGGGTATTAGGGTTTGCCCTTTAGCCACGATTTTATTATGCCATATTATGCCATCCAAGTACAAATCGTTCTTTTACCTACAAACACACATCGACATGGACTATAATTATATCTAAAATCCAAATTGGGAATCCCAAGGATAAGCCTCCAATTTTGGATGCAATGACCCATTTCTGCTAGACTTGGGGATGCTTCATCACTGGATAGTCCTAGTGTGTTGTGGACACAAGCAATTATGGTTTGGCTAGCTCAGAGACGCCTATACCATACTGAATAAATTTGCAATAACAACCTAATAACTTATATAGCACACTATATCGAACAAAAATGAGCATGATAGCCATACATAAACACATATAAAACATATAATAACCATATACATGAGGATCACATATTTACAACCATGTCTCTTTATGTTTCTTTGGCCCATCTGACTCTGAGGATTGGCCCGACTTTGTGTCGTTGCTGAAGGATTATCGGCACCTGGAACGACAGTACCACCGGAAACTCTTCGACGAGATCTGTCGTTCAGAGGGATCTCTCAGTGTCGAGGAGAGAAATGTCGGAGAACTGGGAGGTACTGGGAAGCTCACGGGTGATGTGTTTCATGATGTTTCATGATAATATATATGGTATGGTATATATGGTATATTATATACACACCATTCAGTACAATATATATATATGTTTCATGATGTTTCACGGAGAGCACTGGTTCCGTTGCTTCTGCATTTTTTCACTCCAGCTATCTCCAACTCAGTATTCAGACTTCGAAAAATCCACGTTGTTCCTGGGCTCAACTACTTGCAACTCGGTCAGCCTTTTTGTTGCAGGGAACCCCTCATCCATGTTGTGAAAAAATCCCCAGCAACTTGCTGATTGAACCTCATTAAATTGATGTTCATATCAATCTTGAATAGCATTATTTAGATATCTGTTTGGTGGTTTGGAACATCTTTTATGACTTTCCATATATATTGGGAGTTTCATCATCCCAACTGACGAACTCCATGATTTTTCAGAGGGGTAGGTGGCTCAACCACCAACCAGATTACCATCTGGTTATTTAACAGTTTGCTATGGAAAATCCCCAAAATAAATGGAGGTTTAGTTCGCTGGGAAAATCATATATTTCGATTAGGGCCATCTATACCATAGCTATGTTAGTCATAACCAGATGGTAATCTGGTTCTTTTTCACTTTGTTGATCAGACGTTGCCAGCTGCTGCAGGAGGTGGAAGTTTTGCTCGACAGATTGGGACACCCTGCTGCACTGCAGGCATCGATGGATAGTGCACTTAGTGAATGGGAAAAAAAAGTTACCCTCTGGTAAACTAACAGTTTGCTATGGAAAATGACCATTTATTTCGTTGATTTGCCCATTAATTAATAGCATGGTGGATCTTTCCATAGTTTTTTGGGACTGTTTACCAGAGGGTATACCCCCAGTTATCTCTGGAATATCCCCCCAAAAAATGGGATGAAATGCGACTTACATATGGATTACAAACCAAGTGGTGCCCATTGGGATGGTCTGATCCTTCCATAGCATGGAAGATGTGTTTAAAATGCCATCCCATTCATGATATGAATCTGTAGCAGATACCCTCTGGTAAACAGTCCCAAAAAACTATGGTAAAGATCTACCCATTTTTCATGGGAAAACTCACTATTTCGACTGGGCCATTTTCAATAGCAAACTGTTAGTTTACCAGAGGGTAATATATATATATATACATGTATCCCAGATATATTGTATTTATATTAATATTAATTAATACATCTTCATTAATGATGTACTGTATAATTGTATAATTTTTAATCCCATTCATGATAGTGATGATCATGCCCGATACCCCAGGGGATCAGCGCAGCCACCGATACCACCAGCAGTGAAGGCCTTTGACAAGTGCCGCAAAGATCGAACGAGTCATATGAACTTTGGAGCCTTCGAAGAGTTCTTAAGCGCCTTGTCCAGATCAAAACGGGTGAAGACTTATGTGAAGACTTATGGATGGGAGTCCAAGATAAATCCTTAGCATCTTTGAAACAATGGCACCACAGGGTTTTATGAGCTGTTACTGGACTGTCTTTCTTATTGAAACCTTGGATTTCCAGTGGATTTTAGACTGAGGGCAACTGCGGCTGACGGAAGGCGAGAACTGCAGGGTGACATGTCCTGATCCAATCGACTTAAGTCGATTGAAACAAATTCCATGCGGGGCGCTTGGTTTTAGGCTTTCATTGGCTCCAGTCGATTGAAACAAATCCAGAAACCAAACGATTTTGTGGAGCCTTCATACTGTACAGTTTGATGATTTTGTTTTGCCTAGTTCCCTCCTGTAAAAAATTGTTCACATATAGATGTGGTTTTCCCCACCTTTGACACCGTTTCAAGCCATCATTTTCCACAAAAACATGGTTTTTCCATGGTTTTTCCACATCTTTGTGGAACAGTTCACCACGAATCCCATGTCTTTTCGACAGGTTTCAGTCAACACGACCTCCGAGAACTCCATGCGTTCTTCGAAGTCGAGAAGACTTGCGCAGCCAGGCTGCGCAAGGAGATGCATGGCGTGGTTTGGCGGATGGAAATGGTGGCCGTTTCGGAAAATGTCCATTTTAGGCGTTCAAAATTTGTTGGAATAGTTATGGAATAGTTATGGAATCATCTATGGAATCAGTGTATAGTTATGGAATAATTGTGGGATCAGTATGTTAAAGTAATTTGAACATGTGAGAAAACCAATGCCAATGCCAGCTACCATGCCTGGGGATTTGTTTCATAGTGACATAGTGGTTGAAATCCCCAGACATGTGGAATGGGGTTGCGACCTGTCAGGAGCCCATGTGCCGCTGTAGTTTGGAGAAGGTTCGCAACTCAGTCGGCGGAGTTCATGACTTTTCTCATAAAGAAAATGAAGGGCTGATGCTAAAATCACAGCTCTGGTGGTTTCTGTTGGAACTTTTCTAAAAAATCTAAAGTCAAGTAGGTCATCAACATTTATCAACTGGTTGGTGGTTTGGAACCATGGAATTTTATGACTTTCCATTTCATATATGGGAATGTCATGATCCCAATTGACGAACTTCATGATTTTTCAGAGGGGTAGGTGGCTCAACCACCAACCAGATTATATCATAACATATCATAACTATGGAAAGATCCACCATGCTATGTAGCTGGGTAAATCAATGTAAATCAAGCATTTCCACCATTTTCAATAGAAAAATATCCAGAAGTTGCACTTGTGATCGTCATCACTCACCGGTCACCAGGTGCAACAGGTGATGATGCTCCGCGGATTCCCCACCACCGAGGCGGCAACGATGGGGTCGATTAGGGTCTCACCGGTCTCACCAGACTCATCATGGCAAGGTGTGTCTTTGGACATACGTTCGCTGGAATATATGGATTGAGGCAGATATGTGAAGTACCATCTGTTGAGATATGGCGTCATGTTGGTTTCCTACAGACTCACCAGAAACTCAGCATAAACTCAGGATCTATCAGGATCTTGAAATTTGAGAGAAAGCCACGCAGGAGGAAGTCCAGCAGATGGCCGAGAAAATGGGCTTTTCCAGTGAACACGGCGTCCGCTTCCGGCAGATGTTGCGGCTCATCCGGTGTCTCAAGGTGCTCATCGGGGGGAACCGGGGGAGATTTGTTTAGGGGAGGGCCTGGTGGGTTTCCCCTAGAAAAATCTTCCAAAACCCATAGGATCCATGTATGCTATATATGATAACATTTACATACATTTACCATCAATATACCCCAAATGTTAGCATATATACCATACATGGATCCTATGGGAAATGGCTGTTGAAAATGGAATACCGACATTTGTTGGGCTTGAGATGCATTGAGTATCCTGAGTATCCATTTTTGTTCTGGAAGGACGCCGTATCCTTTTCTTGTCGGCAGTTGTGGACGCGACATTTTGCCCTGCCACCACCTTTTCAATCAGCTTTCAGTCAGGTCTTCAAGTTTCACTCAAACACCATTGAACATCAAATTTCAATCCTCATCTGACTGGTTCAAGTGCTTCAAGTGCTTCAAGTGCTTCAAATTTCAGGAATTTCCCCCAAAAAAAACCCGCCCAAAGTCCGAGTTCCGAGGATTTGGAACGGACTCAGATGCTGGAAATCATCCAGAAGTACTCCCAAGAACGTCGTAATGCGATCCAGGCAGCTTCCAGCATCCGGGATTTCAGCCCATGTCTTGGAGGATCCCCGGGAGCTTTCCTAAGCCGAAAAAATACAAAAGGGGTACCCCCAAATCATCGATGGATTGCCCAGTAAAAACCAAGATATTTTTGGGGTACCAATCTTTTAGGAAACAGGTGTATATATATATATTATATCAACTCATTAATTCCAGGTTGTTCTATGTTTTTATCCCAATCTGATTCCATCATGTTCCGAAGTTCCATCCTTTTATCACATATTCCATCATATATTCCCATCGTGTCCAGAATGTGTCCAGAATAGGCCCATCCCGTTCCAAAACAGACATTGGCGGAAGCTATTGGATCTAACGGGTACCGGTGACCGGTCCCGAATTAGAATTTTTCAATATTGGGGGAATGGATTTCTACTTCGATGTGGGAATTTATAGATATTTTCAGAATACTCATCTAATATTGACAGCATTCTCCCTAACAAGAAGTTGAATTTCACCAACAGAGATCTAGAACCAATGTCTCTCCAAACATCCAGAACCTTCACCATAGATGGTCGATGTTTTTCTTGTCTCCAGTCAGATACTTGGCCAAAGAAAGTATATGAATAATACAATATACTTAGTTATATATTATATATTATAGTATATGACCAATCATTGGATGGTATATATCTAATATTAGTACTAATATGACCATATACCATAATAATAATAATACCATCCAATATTGGCACCAAGCTGGGACTGGACCCGGCTGCTTTTCGTCTTTGGGCTACGTTTGTCATTTCGGGGCGCATCGCATTTTTCCCGTTCGTTCAGGTGGTGGATTTACCTTTGGCGCTGGGTGGTTTGGGCTACTACCCCGACGAAGACGCCATCCAGGAACATCTTCTGGCGATCGGTGAGAGGGAATCCGAGGAGTGCTTGACGCCAGAGGAGCTGGCGAGATTCCTGCAGAAGTACCGGCAAGTGTCGCTGGGATTGGTTTTTTGAGCTGTTTTTAGGTGTATTGAAATAAAAAAAGGGCCTGTTGATTGATGATGATGTGGAAGTTGTTTCTTGGAGGTTTTGTGATTTACCTCGATTGAAGCACTTTGAATATGAGGACATGCAGTGTTTCAACCTCGAAACATGCGGAAATCGTTGGCAAATGATGATTGATGAGTGATGAAATCTGCGTTACACTTGCTGTTTATTGAGAATAACCCCAAGATATCACAGCCAAAAACAAGGGATACCTATTTGAGTCATTTTTGGTCCATAAGAGTAGGATGAACCTGGTCTTATGTGGAAAGATGTGGAAAGATTAAATCAGGAATGTTGGATCATGGATGCTCTATTCCCGGACGAATATAGGCAGAATCCCAGTTGGATGTTTTGATTAACAAAGTTGCCTGGAGAGTTTGGAGAGTTTAGAGATGTGGTGGTTTCATCTCTTCTGCTATACCAAAACGATCCAAAACGGTCATTTCAATATACCCTCTGGTAAACATACAAAAAACTATGGAAAATCACCACTTATAGTGAGTTTCCCCATTAAAAAAATGTGATTTTCCATAGTTTTTTGTATGTTTACCAGAGGGTAGGGACAATTGCTGTGACAATAATGATCCATCCCATTAACCAATATGAAGAATATGAAGCCACCATTGTACCCAATCTGGTTGGTGGTTTCAAACATGGCTGGATTATTTTCCATTTCATAAAAAAGGGATGTCATCCTTAACCCATTGACTTTCATATTTTTCAGAGGGGTTGAAACCACCAACCAGCAATAATAACAGCTGGTTTTCCTACCAGGGGCCGTTCGGACTATGAAGCCAAACAGTTCTGGCCTCTGTGCTGAGGTCGGGCTTTACGCGTGAGCAACTGCTTGAGGAATTCAGTGATTTTTCGTTTTGGGGATCGAAAACTCCAAGCCAGAAGGGAACCATGGAAACCGTGGTTTTGCTTCCTTATATACTGAAGTCTTTTGGCACGTAAACATTTTTTTCGAAAAAAATATGTGTCATTCTTATATCCTTACGTCTTTCTTGGTCTTTAAAGCAATGTGATGTGCTGACCGACGAAGTCTGGTAGCGACATGTCGCGACCCTGGATGACTTAACAAGAATGTTCATAGGTGGTGCGTAATGTGGAACCATCCAAAAAAGGGCCTGAAATCATCGAACAGTAACTTAACATGTAACAAGCCTCTGGTAATCAGGTTTACGTGGCAAAACTGGTCATCCACCAGAAAATGGATGATCAAAATCGGATGACTTCCCATCTCAAGCTCCATGGCTCGGAGATCCATGGCTTTGATGACCAGCTGGCCAAATATTTGACCAGCTGAATGAGGCAATATCACAATTTGGCTCAGTCATTCAGCAAAGCAGACAAGACAAAGCGCGGTCAGTTGAATGCCTTGGTATCTTGGTGATGTTTGGTGATGGTGAACGGCGGACGGCGGAAATGGGTGGTTTTTTCACGTGTTTCAACGCGTTTCAACGTGTTTCACTCCCATTTTGAAGAGTTCTAGTTCAATTGGAACTGCGAATGATGGTTTCACATGATTCAACCATACTTAAATCAGAAAATCACGTGTTGATTCAGATGATTCGGACCCTTGTCATCTGCTTGAATTTTGGGATCCCAATGGGACCCCAATGGGATCCCAATGGGCTGATGTCGATCCCAGGAATTGACAGAGGTCTTACGACGCGCAGGTTTTCACGTCTCCATGCAGGACGGTTTTCGGTGCTCGCCGAACGGTTTCGGGGTCGGAGAAAGTTGAGGGGAAAAACCCATGGAAAAACCCATGGGAAAAGTCCGTTAAATGATCTATTGATTCTATTGGTTGATGATATATGATCATGTTCCCACAATTCCCGAAACTCAACTAGCCATTTTGGGAGTTTTTACACCTCAGACTCTGGCCATACTTTTGATTTTTTTGAAATTGGGCCATTGGGGTGATTTATTGAAGAGTGAAAACATGTTTGCTTCGATTGCACACAGCTTGGAACATGGCAACTCTGCGATTTCGTGCGATAGCAAAGTTCCACAATGTGGGGCCCCCAAGATAGCCAAGTTGGTTTATAACTCCAATAACTATGGTTTATGGAACTTATAACTATAGTCAACGGGGTTTATAAACCAACTTATAACTGGGGGGCTCCACATTGCACCCATCATTCACTTTTTGTGTGCCAAAGTGCCTGCAGGATGTGATTCAGGCCCTGTACCACTTTGACTTGGAGGGAATCGGCCTCCTGTCTTTGCCGGAAGTTCTCAAGTTACTTCGAGGCGGAAGATAGACATGAAACACACCTTTTGGGCTAGACGCTTCCCTTAACCCTAAGCCTTTTTCGGTACCTACGGGTCACACCAAATATGAATAGGCTCAAATTCTTGATCCTCTAGATATTTAGATATCCCATATATTGCCATATATCAGGGTATAACGACCTCACTGTGACCTCACTGGAAATCATGGTTAATAAGAGGAATCATGCCAAAATGGCCGAACTATTCAGGTTAGTGAATTAAAATTTAATTATTTACCCAGAGATATATTGCCATATTCGGATTGATTCCAGTGACCTCACTGACCTCAGTGACCCTTGGGCCCTGTCAGGTTTGTTGGCAAAAGAAGCCGAGACGCGGCGTAATGCCTTTCTGGCCGCCTGTAGGGGGCCTTCACAGAAACTCCCTGCAAGGTGCAGCAGTGAGTTGAGGTTTTTTTTTGGGCCACTGGGAGGAATCTTTGAAGTAGAAATATCAGGTAAATCATGAAGAATAAGCTGGAAAATGATGAATAAGCTGATTGATACAACTTGAAGTTCATTTTCTGGGATTTTTGAGGCCAATGGATGCCAATGTCTACATTTGCTGATGGGCCAAAACGGGCCAAAACGGAGAAAAAGGGATCAAAATCGGTGCCTCAGCTCAGCTGAACTCATGGCGTCAGGGATTTAGCAGCAACCATTGCCAGAGTGCGAGGCGGGGCTCGGAATCATCCAACCTTCAGGTTATCTCCCATTTCATCCATGTATGGTATATATGCTAACATTGGGGGTATATTGATGGTAAATGTTACCATATATAGCAGCACCATGGATCCTATGGGTCTGCTTGGAAGTGCAGTTCTAGAAGTTCTAGTTATGGATATAAAACCACTATGGTGGTTCCTTAAGTTTTGATCTCCAAAACATCGTCGTCACCATGCTTGTTACTATCATGATCATCCATGGCCCATGACTTATAACTTAGGACATCTCCGGGACTGTTTTTCCAAAATCTGATTGGTGGTTGGGAACATGTTTTTTTATGTTTCCATATATTTGGAATTTCATCATCCCAACTGACTTTCATAGATTTCAGAGGGGTTGAAACATATATAAACACTGGTTGGTGGTTTCAAACATTTCTTATTTTCCATTTCATATATGGTATGTCATCCGAAACCCATTGACGAAGTCCATCATTTTTCAAGATGCTTAAAACAAGTTGTTTTAACCACCAAGCAGATTATATCATAACATATCACAACTATGGAAAGATCCACCATGCTATGTAGCTGGGTAAATCAAGCATTTCGACTGGGTCATGTTCAATAGTGACTATCCAAGTGACTATCCAATTGTTGATGGGGGATTGATTTCATTCCCAACTGATGGGTGTCATCAATCCCATCTTCGGCCCTTCGGGGCCCGGATTTTCTCTAGGCTACCAGCCTGACAAAACGGTGCTGACTTCGATGTTCCTTGGCGAAGTGGAAGCGATGTCACCCCATAGGACATGCCAAACTGGTAGCCTCTGGTCAACCAACACGTTGCGAAGTGGAAAATGGCCATAGAAAGAGTGAAATGATGTTGATTTACCCAGTAAAAATGGTGATCTTCCATCGTTTTTTGGGACTGTTCACCCAGAGAGTGTAGATTAGCTTGGTTTTTTTTCATGTCACTGGTCACTGGATCCAATCGGTGAAATCCTCAACAAAAGAACACCAAAGATCTGGGTTTCACCCATGGAGTTTTGGAAATATCCCTACCATTTGCTTATTTAACATAGCCATGGAACATCCACCCATTTTTAAGTTCGGTAAACCATCTATTTCTATGGGCCATCGAAAAACCATGGCTATGTTAGTCATAACCAGAGGGTAAACACCAGCAATGATAGTGATTTTCCCATTAAAAATGGTGATTGTCCCATTAAAAGTGGTGATTTTCCCATTAAAAATGGTGATGTTCCCATTAAAAGTGGTGATGTTCCCATTAAAAATGCTGATGTTCCCATTAAAAATGGTGATGTTCCCATTAAAAATGGTGATGTTCCCATTAAAAAAAATGGTGATTTTCCCGTTAGTCATAACCAGAAAATGTTCCCCTGCTCTTCTCCATGTCCGAAAGAATTTCTGCTTGTCGAGGCTCAGCATCTTGGGCCTACATTCCATGGGTCTCAGCTTCACATCCTTTGAGTCCCCAACTCAGGCCCCAACTGAGTCCATGCCGTCCCATCCATAGAAGGGGACATCATGCGAAGGTCTTGGATGTACAGGATGTAGATTTTAAGGACAAAATTGGGTGAACTTCGTCATTCATCCAATATATCATCAAATGATTTCATCATATTTCTGAAATATCAAACTGCTATGGTTCTTGCCATTGAATCGCGATCAGCGCTTGCTCGCGCGAAGTTGTGCGAAAAAACGCTTCGTCACCAAGGCACGTGTGCAAGCTGATGCGTGAAAGTCACTCGGCTTCCCGTATGGAAGTGTCGAAAAAAGGGGATCAAACATCAGGTTATTATTATAGGTTATAGTCATATAGCAGCTATATATGATGTTTCTCCATATTATGGGTCCTATATTATAGCTAATATGGGTTCTATCTATCTATCTATCTATCTATCTATCTAATATATATATATAATTTTGAAGGTTTTGGCTGGAAGGTCCCCTCGACCGCCCATCCACTTACCTCAGCGGGATTCGGTGTTCCCCGCGGGTCATTAGACCTTTGTTTCGCCTGCGCTGTGGATCTGAACTGGCGCGCCCTGGATCCCTCGCACTACGAAACGTGCTCTCAAGGACTGACCACCCTTGATCACCTCGCTCTGCATCGGTCATTCACTGCCTTTGACCCGGTCATTTTGTATGTGCACAGCATTTAAGATCTTCTTGCACCTCCTTTTGATTCAGGTCTTTGAGAACGTGAACTGTGGTGATCCATTCTCCCCCTCAGTTGACTACGGCATCGCTCTCTACAAGAAGGGCGCAGCGAAGGAGACGAGCACAAGCTCGGCTGGCCTGGTTTTTGCACAGGAAGGGCTACAGAGTTCTTTCTGCCCACCAACTCCTGCATTTACACCATCGGCTCAGCAAACATCATTCACGAGACCCACGTCTCCTGCGTTTGATCCTTGCAGCCCATCAAGAAGCGATGACTTCCAAGCAACCATCATGGAGATGTGCCACGTGCCACGTGGTAATGAAAGGTTCGTTCCCACGATGCTGGAAATGTGGTCACGAGTGGGCTTCATGCTACGACCACACCTTCGTGCCAATCGACCAGCGGCAAGCTACCTACAACCAGCAGACAGGACAGCCTCCACCATGGGATGGTCAATGGCATGGATCCAATTCTGGTTCGTGGAGCCCAAGATCGAGGACAAGAAGGTCGTCAAATCGTGGTCGCAAAAGCAACAAGAATCAAGGATCTTGGCAAGGTGGGGACTTGCAATACCCCCCCAAGGGCAATGGCAAGGGACAGGAGCAGTTAGCGCCAGCACAGGTCCCTATGCAGCCATTCATGCCCTTTCCAGCTATGATGCCACAGATTCATCAACAGATGATGCAACCTCCACTTCCACCGCCTATGAACGACAAGGGTGCTGGAAAAGGAGTACCTCCACCTCCTCCTATGATGCCCACGATTGGAGTGCCTGCAACAGGTATGGCTCACCCAGTTCCCACCATGCCTTGGGGATCGATTGGACAGACGATTCCCTTTCCTGCAGCACCCTCGTGCCCTGCAGCAGTGCCGGAACCGACTGCGACCCACAAGCCGGACGGCCCTGCCCAACAAAAGTTGAACAGACTTTTGAAGGAGATGAAGAAAGAGGAGGACAACCTGTCGCCGCATCTTCAAGCCATTGCCCACGAGATGCAGAAACAGGACGAGAAGAACAATATCAAAAACCTCTCCTCAGCAGTGAGATCACTTGGGGAGGCGAAGCAAGAATTGCTCGAAGCGGAAAATGCACGAGCGCAGCATCTATCCCAGTGGAAAACGTTTCTGCAGCAGACTGTCGTGAAGTGGCGAGAATTTGCCACCAGCTTTCATGCTTCAGAAAGTGCCCATCAGCAAGGTGTTCAAGCAGCTCGAGTAGCGGTCAAACGTGCTCAACGTGTGTTCGATTTGGCCTCAAAAAAGGAGCAAGCTGGACAAGAAGGGACAGTCACCATCTCGGACGAGGAGGGCGACAACGACGTAGCAGACGATACAATGGAGGATCCCCACGACGAGAGTGTGCAACGCATACATCAAGGAATGGATTCCCTTGTATCGAGTCTCGAAGAGCTCTCCTCGACAGCAGATCAGTTGGAGCAGCGCGTCAAGCGTCCCAGAGTTTCTCCCTCAGATGGAAACGTTGCCTCTACTCCTGCGCCGCATTTTGGAGCGCCCGGTGCTGTATGACAGACATGTATACGCACCAAGGGCTTCTTGCCCGGCCAGTGACCAGCCCTGAAGCAATGAAGTTGCAATGGTCACATTCTGTTCTTCTTGAGAGGGATTACCTCAGTGAGTGGCGAGCACAGGAATGTGCGTCCATGTTGGCTGCTGATATGGGTTCTTCAGCTTGGCTGCGTGTTGACACTATTTCCTTGCCGATGAGGCGGAGATGTAAATCTGGCCATGTACGATTTTGCGACAACGTCACAGTTTTGATTGGTGAAGATGATGGTCTGGACTTTCGACCTACCATGATTCACCACTCTGCCCTGAGTGATTTTCAAGACAAACCATGGAGGCTCCGTTCCCATAGCTCCAAGTTGCGGTCTGAACACCAGGACAGTGCTGTGACTTCCTTCATGGCCAGAAGACCTTCCCAACCCGCTCGCTCATCACCAAGTGCAATCTCCTCTGCATCATCCTCATCTACTTCGACATCATCAAGCTCATCTCAGGCACGATCCACAGAATGGCGCCAAACAGTTTTGATCCTCTTGGATGGACGAATTCTTCCAGCTAGGCTACCATGGAATGATGGAGAGCAGCTCATCATCCATGTACAGCAAGCCATTGGAGATCAAGGACAAGGACTTTATGGGCTTCATCATGTCTCACATCGACCTGAGGATCTACTACAGCAAGGCCTTGAATGTCTCCTTGTGCAAACTGGCTTGGAACCTCGACCGTCAACATTTTTGCGCCTGATTTTGGTTGACCTCGAGATCTTTGAGCCTAACGAAGTCCTCCCGGGGGCTTTCAAAAGGTTTGCCAAATGGATTCCTGAATCAGTCAACCGGGTGTCTGTCTTCCGCTTGCTTGGACTTGAATCCTTGCTTCGTGCACACCCTGAACGCAGCCACTTGTGGCACAACAACATCATTGTCCCTGAGAATCAAATCAGTCCCATCTATCCACGAGATGGTGATTATCTACACATTCTCATCGGGGACAGTGTTGATGGCTTTCCATGCCTGCCTTCCAGTCCCACTTCCTTCAGTGAGGACAATACCGAGGAAAACGACACCATTTCCGGTTTGCAGACCTCTTCTTGGACGACTTCATTCCAGGCACCAACTACAGAATCTACTGATGTTGATCCCCTGTCCAATGTGGCTTCGTGCATCTCCAGTATAGACTTCTGTAAGCAGCAGCCATACATGCAAAGTACCAATGAGCCATTTAGCTACTTTTCATCACGTGAAGACGATGGTCCTACAGATCACAACCTGGACTATTTTGGCAGACCTCCGCGTGTAGAGCAACCCATCTGGCAGCATGAAGTTTGGGACCTGCTCCGAGCACATGGTGAAGTTGAAATGGAAGAAGAAGGACCGATCATCTATGTGACCTCCCACTACATCTCCCATACAAGAGTCCCACGCAACACAGTGACGCGCCCGCTTCGGTTTGACACCGATCATGAAACGTGGGAAGCCTCAGTGAGATTTATGTGGGAAGATTTCATCGATGATCAGATGCCCCTTGACATCTTCCTAGTGATCCCAGCACCACCAACTACGGTGTATCAAGGCACAGTTGCAACGGTTCTGATCACACAGCATCCTCTACCTGATCGTGCTGCTTGTGTATTGTCCACATCTATGGTTGGCCATACGCATCTTCGCAATGTTCAGACTGCATACTCAGCTGCGATCCCCTGCATGGTTGATGACCTTATCGCTGTGGCTGATGAGCATGCACTATGTGCACCAGCTGATGCTGGTCTTCCACCTTGCCAGATATGGAATGGACCTCAAGAACTTCCTCATGGTCATGAAGTACATGTGCATGATGGACTTGGACTACAAGTACTCATTCCTGAAGCACGAGCTCATGATACTGTCATTTCACCTGAGGTTGGAACCGAGGTTGGAACCGACCCTACTCATATCAATGACGAGGAAGATGTGGAAGACACTGCTCTCCTCACCACAAAACCTGCCGCTGTCACATGTGGCTTAGACCTCCCAAGTGGTGTTGAAGAAACAAATTTCTGTCAGCAGACATCTGTCAGGCTTGAGCAGCCGGTCCTCCAATGGAATCCTGATGTGCCTGACCCATTTCTTGAGGACTTGGCCGGCCTGTGGGAATTGCTTGCGTTCTCTTGGGAGGATGAACCGAGATCAGGTATTGTTTTGGTTTGGTTCATCGATCACCAATGGCCAGAACCATACTGCCTTGCTCCCCGAGCTGTTCATTTGTACCCAGCAATTCAGGACTGGAGAAGACGCATGTGGCAGGCATGGGAAGATCAGATTATCCCTGGTGCAGCTCTTGACTTTCACCTAGTGATCCCCAAGCCACCCACTGTGGAGAGTCGCATTATTGCGCATGTTCTCCTTGTGCAGCGCCAACAACCCAATTGGGCTTCGGTGATTGTCTCAGTGTTTGATGCACGAGCACCTACACCTGAAGTTAGTCAGATGGCCCTCACTTTTCCTGACCGTATTCAGCTGGATGACCTCCTGCAGGTGATTGGGGTACATAGAGAATGCACCATGACTCCGCCCACGCTGAGATGCACTGCTTGGCATCGAGATGTCACCCTTCTTCGAGGAGTACCATTTCCTGGACGCTCAGGTCTTTCTTTCCTCATGCAGATCACTGATCCCCCAGCTGTGATTCCTGCCCCTATGGAAATTGATGACAATGATGACGTCGTGGCCCTCCAGATGCCACCAAAACCTTCCCAGTGTACCCTCAACCTGGAGAAGTTGATCCCAGAGAATCCCAAGGTAGTGGTGGATTTTACAGCAGCTGCTGAGGCGTATTTCGATCTCATGAATGTGCACCTAGACTTCCTTCATGATTGGCCCACGACCATTGACTTTCCTGAAGAGACCATTGATGCACTTGCCTCTCTTCGACCGTATGAAGATGGAGCGCCCATTCGAGCACTGCATTTTTATGTGGATGGCTCCAAAGTTGCTGGGCATGAGGTCGGTGCTGCAACCATATGCCTGCTGGAGACACAGGATGAGTTGGCGCTTGCTGGAATCCTTCCAGTACATGTCCA